CACACACACACACACACACACACACACACACAGCCTCTTCCCAATATGCGTTTTTGCAATTAACATATATGCAAAAACGCATAAAAACGCATAAAAATGCACAGATGTGCTTGAACGACTCAGCTTACGATAACTTTTTGACTAGACTTTCGTAAATGAAACGCACCTCTCAGTCTCAACCGACGTGATGCCGCTCGCGTACGGTGCATTGGATGGGGGAACTTTCTTCGCCGTCCAGTTCTTGATGCATTCTGTACTGCTGTAATCCCAGTTTCGAGGGACGCTCGATTTAGTGAGGGAATTGGTTGCGCAGGAATTGCTGGTGCTGCTGCTAGTTGCGGCGGCAAGGGCCTTGCTGACTTTACACGATTCCTCATCTTTGGTATCAGCTGCCGCGCTTCATTGGGCTCTTGTCGTGTTGATGTTTGTCTGGCTTTCGTCGCAGACATAGCTGTTATAGATGGTCGGCCCACTAGTGCAGTATTGGTTTCCGGTGAAGCAGATGCAGCAGGTTGGTGGTTTTGTTCGAGGCGTAATGAATTTTGTCCCGGTCTTGGCTGCAGATGACGGAACGCTGTTTGCGGCCGTGTTTCAAGTGAGCCTTGCTGTTGGCCTGATGACATTGTCGGTAATGCTGGTGGCTGCTGTCCTGTTCTTTGCTGTACCTGAATTCAGTAGATATTTATCACAAAAGTTATCACGTTTCTTGCATATGGAGAAGGGAAACTTCATTAGCACAACTAGCTGATTAGAGTATCGAAAGTAACTATTACTTCCCGGAATCACCCTAATTCTCTGAAGTTGGCTAGAACAGCTTGCCATTCAATCCAAAAACACCTAACTCTAACAAATTTCTTCCACGAACTGTTGCAGCCTTTACGCCTCTATTCCTATAGTACGTTTTTTTTGGTTACATCTGGTCTGCATTCACTAAGTCGTATCAACGAACTTGTTTCAGCCTTATAATACTACGAGCCCTACAGTAACACTTTTCGGATAGCAGTAATCATTTGCACCATCACTACGGAGTTCTTGACCTTAAAGCTACGCATCAGCATTGCTTGTTCCTGCTCACTACTTGTCACTGCAGCACGACTATCTTTCTTACCCAAGTGGCTGGCATTTCATGCGAGTGTCACCCAATGATACGTAACAACTGACTGCTATAAAAAAGAGCAGCACTTTTTGGTCGCTGTATACATATCAACATGCTAGCTATTTTACTGTAAGTTTATCAATTTTCACAAAAAAAAAA